TCAACTTACCTTCACCATCACCCATTTGCTTATGGTTTGAGACAATTTTAATCTCATGGTTTTGTGGTATTTCATGGCTTACGGCTCCAAAAGCAAACCTATATATATTTAAGTTAATTTGATGATCGAATTCTTTATGTAGGTGAAACGAAGATGACAGTAACAATGGGCTAGAGAAGAAGGTTCTGACTTTTGCTGACCTTACCTCAAGCCTGTTGGAAATAATCATGTCTTATCTCGTCTTAAGAGATAACATTCGTGTGTCGGCTCTCTGCAAGGCATGGCGTAAAGCCACTGAATATGTCGGGTTGTGGAAAAGCATTCATGGGTTATCACCTTTCCCAAACAAGATGACTTGACTATCCTCTTTGATCCATTGGAGCGGAAGAGGTACACACTGAATTTATCCGAGTTAGCTGGAACCGATGTTTGTTACTCGAAAGACGGATGGTTGCTGATGCGAAGATCCAGTTTAGTGGACATGTTCTTCTTCAACTCGTATACTAGGGAGCTTATAAACTGGCCAAAGTATGAGTTATCTTTTCAGGCAATTGCTTTCTCTTCGGCTCCTACATCAGATACTTGTGCTGTTGTGCGGTAATAGCATTAAGACCTTTTACGAAATTTATCATTCTTATAAGCATTTGCTACCCTCGAACAATTGAGTGGATTACTCAAGATTTTTCTTGCTCTCATGGATTTGACCCATACATGCATAGCAACCTTGTCTATGCCAATGATCACTTCTATTGCTTCAGCTCAGGCGGTGTTTTAGTTGACTTTGATCTAGCTTACAGGTTTGGACTGGCTAAAACCTCGAAAATATCCAATATGATATAGATTTTTAGTCAAAAAGTCTGGTCTATATGATATTAGATATTTTTGAGTATTTCAGCTCTGTCTGAACTCGGTTGGGTCAGCCTAAATAACCTTGTACCTTGAAAGTCCAATTTTTTGAACTTAAATATTTAAAGCCGAATCCGGTGTTGGACTGGGCTTCAGACTTTGGCCCTAATTAACAATTCTAACGTTGGTCTTACCTAAAAAAATTAAGCTGTGATGTTTGGTTCTATTATATATAGGTGACATAATATTTATTTTTGTCTATCTATCTTCTATAGATAAAAATGATTGATCGAAAAGGGAATCTTATCTTGTGAGTTCTCTCCTTTCTATCTCTTTCTCAATACTCTCAGATTGAAAATTATGTATTAAAGGTTTCTCAAAGTATTTTATTAAATTATATTTTTGAATATTCACATAATATAATATAAATTTTTAGTCGAAAGGTTTTATAAACAATGGCACATATATAAAATGTATAAAATAATGATTTCTATTTACAGCTAGACAAAATGTTATTTATTTGATAATAATGTGTTAAGTTGAATAAAATAATTCAATGAATTGAAAGTGTGTTGGAACAAATAATGAGTGACATGCTGGGATAAATGTGCAATGAATTGGTTAACGTTGAGGTGATTTAAAAAATTAAGATAAATGTCAAAAATGTATTTTTCGATCAAATAATTATTTAAATTTTATTATGATTATAGTTAGTGATACAAACCTCGGAATTACGCTTCTCCCTTTTAAGCTAAGGCCTATAGCTTGAATGGTACGATGGAACGATGGTAGAGATGAATGATGGAGTTTTGTCGTTGAATCCACAACACACGAACCAGAATGATTGAATTTCAAAAAATATCTAAAAACGCAATCAAACCAGACTATATACGAAATCACACCAATAGACTTGAACTTATAAGACTTCAAAAGATTAAATATTTCTGAAAGAAAAACACACTTTTTATTACATAACTTGAATACAAATGAAAACTAAGGTGAGATTATATAGAGGCTTATACCAACGGTCATATGTTCTAAAGAAGTAAGAAATCGCCATTAAATAAAAAGAGCCGTTAGCCAATTAAATAATGAATTTGGCTGAATAAGAAAAGTCTTAACGCTCCTTGTATGTTAAGAGCAACATTATTGGTAGTCTCTTAATATTAGTTCTTAGCATTAGATGATGGACACTTAGCTAAGAGACACTTTTTAACCCACCAAATGTCTCTTAGCTAAGAGACATTCTTAACAATTTTAAGATATTTGCTTTATTTTTATCTATTTTAAGCTAAGATTTTTTTCTAAGATCTTCCTAAGAGACTACCATTAATGACGGTCTAATAGCTTTGGAAGGAAGTGGAGCGTCTTTGGAATGACCAGGTGGTACATTGAATGTGGCTTTAGAAGGCGTTCAAAATGATCATAATAGAGCCGTTGTGATTCAATCTCTTTTGAACTTGATCCGTCTAATCAAGTGAGGTGTGGTACACCTTAAGACATGTAGATAAGTCTCAAGATGATCTCCACGTTTCCAAATCTGAATTTGAGGTGTGCCAAGATGAAAGAAATATAAATCTTCCTTAAATGGCTCCATGTTTATCCGCTGATATGGATCAAAACGTGGCTTTGGGTGGGGTCTTTTTGTTGAACAAAGAGCAAAGTTTATAATTAATATGTATTCTAAATTTTGTAGAAATTAGATTATAAATATTATAGAATAGAAATGATTTCTAAATTTGTAGAGTGTATAGAATACATAATTCAAATTTTCTAGAGCATGTAAAGTGTATAGAATACACATTCTAAATTTCACAAGGTGTATTCTAAATTTCTTAAATCAAATTTTATGTATGTTAAAATAGTTTTAAAAAAATAAAATTATAAATTATTTTAAGGAAAAAACAATGATGTAGTCATCTCATAGTTATCTTTTCTAGGATTAAGTGTACACAAAACTGCATAATTTTGGTAACAAAAAAAAATAAAAACATTAACAAAACGATACAATTTTGATTTTTTAATTTTTTAAAAAATCGACAGATATGTGGTTCCGTATAAATATTGTATATAATTTTTCTTAAAATATAATATTGTGGTCATATAATTTTTCTTAAAAAAATAAATATTTCATATAATTTTTCACCATGTTAAAACACAGTACGTTTTACCAATTTTACTTTTTCAATACTTTTTTTTATTAGATTTTATTTATTTACACTATTTTAGTGACAATTCTTATTTTATTTTATACAACAATTTATATCATTTTCGATGGGATCTAGGCTTTATGTTTGAAGCATTTAAGGGCCCAATTAAGCTAAATGGGCTTTATTTAGTCTTCAACGCGCAGATGTTTATGTTGAAAAATGGCAACGGCTAAAAGCTGGAAGATTGCGAGGGAAATCGGAGACGCCGTGATCAAGGCGTCGAGAAACCCTAACCGGAGATGGTACGGACCTCACATGGCCGCAGCGGTTCGGGCAATCTCCGAACGTATTCCGCTAGTCGATTTCGTACTTGAGATCAGAGACGCCCGTGTTCGTTTTCTTTGTCTTCCATGTGTTCGATCAATTGCCTCAGAGAACGAAGCTAATTTTACTTATACGTTTTTTCTCTTTTCTATGTAGATTCCGTTGTCTTCTGAGTATGAGTTGTTGCGAAAGTTTTCGCCTTTTCCGTCAAAACGGATCATTGTGTTGAATAAAATGGAACTTGCGGAGCCTTTGGAGTTGAAGAAGTGTATGGATTACTTTGCGGAAAGAAACTATCTTTCGTATGCAGTAAATTCACATAACAAAGAGTGTGTCAAGCAAGTAACATTTTAACCACTAATTCTCTCGATTTCATCTTTCAGTTCTTTCTTCTTTATGGCTAAAGAAACTTAACGGAGACTTTTTCGTTCTTTCAGTTTCTCAACTTCTTGCAGAGTCAAGTTAGGGAATTGCACAAAGCTGGTCATTCTGGTCACACCACCACTATGATGCTTCTTGGGATTCCTAACGTAGGAAAGTCCGCTCTTTCCAATTCTCTTCATCAAATCGGGCGGATTAGTGCTGCAGGTGAATCCTACTTCATCAAGTATTTGTTTCTTTGCTGGATTTCAGTTTTTCATGATCGATTTTAACATGTTCATTTACAGAGAAAGGTAAGCTAAAGCATACAACAGTTAGTTCCCAGCCTGGAGATACAAAAGACATTATGAGCTTAAAGGTTTGTTGTTCCACTGTTGGTAAATTTCTCACGCGCTTACGTTCATGACACTTGCCTCTATTAGCTTAATGTCCTTTAAGGGTACTTTCCTTTGTGTTTGTTTGAGGTCTGCACTTTAGTATGGTTAGAGAATTTCTTTGTTTCAGATCGGTAGCCATCCTAACGTCTATGTACTGGACACACCTGGAATATTTCCTCCTAATCTGAATGACGCTGAGATCTTCTCAAAATTGGCATTAACAGGTAGCACTAAACACTAACAGATTGATTATATATCCGTTAAGGTTTTATTTCTCTATTCTCATTGCCAGATAGCGCAGAGAACTTATCGGGTTTTCTTTACCTACCGCAGGAGCTATCCCGGATGATATAGTTGGGGAGATCAAACTAGCACGGTTATTTCTGACTATACTAAACTCTAGCAATGAATACAAGAAATGGGCTAAACTGTGCAAATCTCAGGATTTAACAGAAAGTTTATCTGATGAAAGCTCCAAGTCTGATGCGAAACGTAAGAGGCAGTACGCAACAGATCATACACAGGTACCAGAACAAGACAGTAGCATTCATTATCTGCTACTCAATTATCTCTCATTAGTTGTATCAAATATCCTCTTCTCTCCATCTGCAGGATTTTATAGTTTACGACGTTCGAAGAGTTCTTTACGAGACAATTTCAGCATTCGACGGAAACTTAGAAGACGAAATCAGCATGGGAAATCTTATAGAGACGCAATTCGCTGCCTTAAGAACGGTTCTTAGGGTTCCAGAAGAAGCAAGTGAGTTTGCTGATCTCAGAGTTGCTTCTAAGATATTGAATCTATATCGAACTGGTAGACTTGGACATTACACTTTGGAACATGTCTCTGCTATAGCCAAATATTAACCTTTACAAGATTAGGTGATTGTGATGATTAAAGATCAATGTTAAGCTGTTTAACTCAGAATTTGTAGCTTTGTTATCTAATTAACCTTCTGACACAAGGAGTCAAGAAACTAAACAAATCGCATGATTGTGAATATTACAAAAACAAAAAAGTCTCTCACTTTAACCACCGGAGCTCAGTAGTAGAACAAGGCGAGATTTTTCCGGCGAAACCATCACCGTAACAACAAGAGTAATCCGATTCATGATCACCCCAGAGACAACCATTATAAGCACTCTTAAAGCTTGGACTCCTCAAACTCTCTTCCTCCGCATAACACAGCCGCTTCTTCGCTGTCCCAACTGGTCTCCTCCGTGGCGTGCTCTGAGTCCTTGCCTTAGCCTTCGCCGACTCTGTAGCCGACATGTAATTCGGCTGCATCGAGGAAGGCGAACATGGTATTCTTGGACTAGCTGATCTCACTGCAAAGGATCTTGAAGTTCTGCACGACGGTGGAGTCGCTGGATATGATCTTTGATGATGATGAGTGGTTACAGTCTCAAGAGTTGGTGAATTGGTGATTGTATCGTCCCATTGCTTCGTTGCCATCCACCGATCAAGCCATTGTGTTCTCTCTAGAAGCTCCCTATCGTCGCCGGCTGATTGATTCCGGTAAGACCGACTCCGAATCTTTCACATAAACAGAGTACATTAGTATCCTTTCTCACAAAACAAGACTTTTCCAAAAATATAAATTATGAAAATAGTCTAAATTTATTTTAACAAAACAGATAAATACCTGATTAGAGAGAGCAAGTGCTTGAGCTTTCTCTCGTTTAATAGCAATCTCTAATTTCTTCTGCAAAATCAATTCTGTTTCTTCCGAGTTAAATTCATCATTGCACCTATTCATGTCTCTCGACTGCATAAAAGACAAATTTTATTGTCACCATCACAAGAACAATTAAAAGATGTGGTTTAATTAATTTTTCACTCACTAACCAAAGATCTACGGCTACGGATGTCTTGAAGATATGTTTTAGTGTCCCAAAAACCGTTAGATTCAGCGAACATCGAGTTACGTCTTGCTTCTATGTTATAATTACTCGATGGTGATGATGATAAGAGTCTTGAACGTTGTTGTTGATGATGATTAAGAACTTGATCTTGAACTCGAACCAAAGCCTTGATGCATCTTAGAGTGAGTTTGGCTTGGTTTCTTACATTGTTACCTCTCACTAATGCTTGTAACTTCACTATTCCTCTCAATGCCCGTAATGCTCTCCTCGCCTTTTTCATATAAACGCAAATTTAGACAAACAAAAATTTCATTTTAAAAATTAAGAACTCATAAAGAAAAATAACACAAATTTTTGACAAAATAAAAATCCATAATTTCAATAAAATTTATAACTCATTCTAGACAAATTGAGAGCTCATAAAAAAAAATGTTTTCAAAACATAATATTTTCAAAAAAGTTTCAAATCAATTAAAATACGCAAACTAATAAATTTTCCTCAAAATTATTAAGTGCTTTACGTTACAAAAAATAATAATAATTTATTTTTGTTTGTTTTTAACTTACGAGGTAGCCTCGGAAAGCTGTCTGAATAATAATGGCAGCCCAATGACGTCTAATAAAACCCGGAGTTGCCGTTAGCTTAACGATCTCGGAGGCAGCTTCATCCACGGCGGAGACAGCCACCGTCGGTTTCTCTTCCTCCTCTGTCTCCACCGTACGAACCGTACGGACATAATCTTTTACTAAAGAGTTTGTGGTTTCGAGTTTGGTCTTTCGAAAAACCCATCCTTTCTTTTCTTTTCTCTGCAATTAGCCAAAATAATCGAATCTTTCGGGTTAAGACTCTATTAAGAAGACGAGGTTAAGTAGTAATTTATAGTAGAGACTTTAAAGTAAGACCTTATAATCAGTTTCTTTGTGGTGTGTCTTCTTGTCGGAGTCTTTTGACTGTGACCAGAGAATCTTTTTCACGGTGGTGAACCATGACGTTCCGTTCTTCTTAGCCATCTTGAAGTAACGTTTTCTATAATTGACGAACCAAAGAGAGAGAGAAAGAAAGAGAAGATTTAACTTAGCTATAGTGAAGTTGATGCTCATGTAAGTAACTATAACACGAGACGAAGGAAGGTAGCATGAATGTGTATATATATAGTATACACGACAAAAACCATAAATAAATGAGTTAAGTTAGTAAATATAAATTAAAATTATAACAATATGTTAATTAAGCTGATACTTATTAGTTAATTACAAAAGAGTACTTGCTTAATCAAGATAAAAAAATTACTCCCATTACAGAAATTAAGAAAGGATACCAACAAAAATTTAGACATATAAGAAATGCTGTTAAATTGTGTGGTTTTTCGATAGAGGACTCCCATTATGGATCAAGGTAAGGATCGAGTTCGACTATCTACAAAAATTGTTGTAGTTCTCTCTTGACCATTTAAGATGGTTTATATGAGAAAAACTCAGTTTTAATTTCTACATGTCTAAAAGATTAGTTTGCGTTTCGTCCTGAAATCTATCTTGAAAAACAACAAATTAGTCTTATTAAATATTTTATATAATCTTTTTATAGATAGATATATTAATAAGGGAGATTGACACAAATAGCCCCAAAAAAGTTGTTTTTTCTAAAAATAGCACCTCATTTGAAAAGTTCCACAAATAGCACCATAAACTTCAATTAAACTTAATGAAAATATAAGATATAAAATAAAAAAAAAGAGCAAACACTAATCTAATATTAAATTGAATCAAAATTGTTTTAAATAGTGGAAATATATACCCTAATTTGGAAATAGGGAACCCAAATATAATACCACAAACTAATATTAAAATAAAAATCTCTTTTAAATGGTGAAAATATATACCCTAAATTGGAAATAGGGAACCCAAATATAATACCATAAACTAATATTAAAATGAATCAAAATCTCTTTTAAATGGTAGAAATATATACCCTAAATTGGAAATAGAGAACCCAAATATAATATTTTAAATTTATTTCTAATTTATTTTGTTGAATAGCTTTTATATAAAAGTTGTGGTATTATTGAAAAAAAAAAGCTAGTGATAAAATTTTTAGAACAAAAACACTAATAGTAAGTTAACTAGTGCTATTTTTGGAATTTTATGGAGTGTGTGCTATTATTGTCAATAAAACTTGTTTTAGGGCCATTTTTAGGAATTTCTCTATTAATAACTAATACGTTGAATAATTATATAGAACCTTAATATAGAACCTTAAGATAGTTTAATAAATTGGATTTTTACATAGATTCATAACATCTTACCTAAATAAACCTCATCTCTCATAAATCATAATATCTATACATAATGTTTATTCTAGGAAAAATAACTTAGTGTAACTTTCTTAATTGTCTTTTTTTTTTGTCATCCGTAATTAAATAGAGCTCAAAAGAGGCATTCCTGTGGAATGTTGTTTACATAAGTGATATGAAGCGGTTCTGTACGAATTTTTCGTGCCAGATGATCCGCTTTTACATTAGCACAACGAGAAATTAAAGATAGAGAGAAGTTGGAGAACTCTTCCTTGTCGCTCTGAAATTCCTCTAGATACACTGAGAAGGCCGGCCATTCGGTTGGGGAAGACATCATCTTCACCAGGTCTGAACAGTCTGTAAAGAACGCTACCTCTTGATTATCTGCACCAATCATACACTTCATTGCCCAAAGGAGGGCCTCGAATTCTGTATGTAACGGAGATAGACTTCTACGGAGGTTGGCAGCTCCCATTGTTGGCGGCTCACCATTTGATGGTGTACAAAACCACCCTACACCGGAAAACTTGTCACTATCTTTCCAAGATCCGTCTACAAAACAACGGTATCCCGTGAAATTCGACTCCAGGGACTCCCCCCTCGATCGGGGCTGATGTACTATATCCACTGAACCCTGTGTTTCACTATGAAGCTCCAACTGAGCTGATTGCCATAATTGTGCCTCTCTTTCCGCTAACCGTAAAACCTCAAACGGATCGTTATCAATATTTTCAAAACATTTTTCATTTCGTGCTTTCCAAATATACCAAATAATCCATGGAAAAGCTGTAGAATCAAACTCCGAAGGTATCCTCCAGAATAAATGATCCAAGTTCGCAAAAATAGAGTCCGTGGGAAAATTTCTCATAGCCGTAGGAATCCGAGAAAGTGCCCAAACTTGACGAGCTGGGTGGCACTGGAAGAGTGTGTGATTGACTGTTTCCTCTGATGCCCCACATCTGGCACACCCGGTGTCACAATTGAATATAGTTTTCATAATTTTCATAGAGAGTAAATATTGTATATAATTGAATTTAATTGTGAAATTATAACTAGGTACATTATCTGCTAAAAAAAAGGAATATCATCTTAAAGGTTTATTTTAAGTTTTTTTTTTGTTTTCTTTGTCGTTACTCGTTAGTTTAAGTTTAATCAAGGAATTAAGGGAAGTCTCTTAATTATTTTACATTTAAAACAGTTTCGCTAACGTCCCAAAAAAAAAGCAACAGTTTCACTTTCACTTTCGCCACAGAACAAAAAGTAGAAAATATAACAGCTGTTCATGACCTAATGATACTTACGATAAAACAAAAACAACTAAATTAAGAATAGACTAAAAATATGTGTGATGGTGATTATATAACAAATGAGGGTGCATCAGAATTGTTGCAGCTTTTTGGTTATGTTCTACTATATTAATAGGCAAATGCACTTGCACAGATGTTACATGGGATTATTAAATATAACAATTAATGTAATATAGTAAATGAAGATTTTGACGGTCCAAGATGACATTGTAAATCTTTTCAAGAAGTAGAGAGAGAGCCACAGACTTTAATGCCTCGTTGTACCAAGAATCCAAAGTTCCAAAAATGATTTTTATTGTTTTCTTTGAAAAAAGAATTAGTTTTTTGTAAATTGTAAATTAGCTCTCTTTCATTGGTGTTGTCACGTGTTTACACAGTATAGATTCAAGAAACTACGTTTCTTCGTAAATTGCAAAATGAATAGAAGAGTAGTTAAAAATTGTTATAATATATACAATTTGGGTGGCTAGAGAATGTAATGTAGTCTTCAAGAATTGTGATGTTGGGGATAAGAAATACTAATAGTGATGAGAAATCATAGACAAAGTATTTTATTGGATCACTGTTTCTCTCTCTTTTTATGACATGTTAAAAAAAAATAATTAATATGATGAGGGTTTAATATAAAAATTGTGTGATCGAATAATTATTATTGATTTTTGTAATGATAAATCTACAAAATCCATTTATTTATATAGCTAGGGTGTGATTAGTGGAGAATAATAGAGTAAGTGAGAGTAAATTAGAAAAATAAAAGTGTAATTTAGAGTAATACTTTTTTACCTTACTTTAGTTGGAAGAAAGGTTTACTCTATTTTTCTCCTTTAGCTAAAACTAGAGGGTATTATTTTTTAACATTTTCAACTCTATTGGTAAAAGAATAGATAATTTAGAGTAATTCTTCTTCTAGCTGAATTTTTTACTATAAAAAGTATTGCGAATCAAACCATAGAGATAAAAGTAAGTTTAAGTTTCAAAAGTTAAGATAAATACAAATATGAATAATAGATTTACAACTCCTAAACTATCACTTATAAATCATTTTCTTACAAATATTTATGTTATTTTTATTGTCGAAACTCAATCTCGATTTGTAAATCCAACCGGTTTAGATTGGTTTCAATCGATTTTTGTTGGTTTTGAGTCAATCTTAATGAATATAAATTTTGGTGGATATGATCCTAAAACAAGTTGTTTAAACTCACATTATCACATCAATTAACTTATAGATGTGTGTTCTCTAGAGCCACTAGCAAAAAAAGTGCAACAAGAATTATAGACCAAATAATTGCTTGATTGAATTGTCACGGACATAATAAAAAACTTAATTCAGAATTTAATACTCATACAAACATAAGATCCTAATGGATGCATGATAGATACGAATACGACTATAATAAAAACGAGGCGTGCAAATGAAGGACGACAAGACCTCGAAGACTACAAAATAATGGTTTTAGCCAAAATACAACTTTGAAACTGAGATTCTTTAAACTTTTTTAACTTATGTAGCATCGAGAAAAGGTCTCATGAATGAGTTTGCTTGGACTAGTCAAAATCTCCATGTCAAAAAAATTATTGGGAGCGAATGTTTAGGCACATTTTATTTGGTAGTGGTTTTGATAAAGCTCGTAAAGGATCCATTATTTAATTTACCGATAAGATTCTAATTCTTTTGTATGCATGAATTCCATTTTTTTTTTTGAAAATTAAATATTGATTTGTTTATTAAAGATCTATCCACGAACATATTCTGTGTCATTTATAAAAAACCAGTCTAAACAGCTAACGATAGTTTCTGTAAACCAGTTAAATATGAGAGAGTCAAAGATATATAGCTGATGACAAATTCGAACATCTCATGTTTACCCACCTTAGTGACTTTGGAACCCCATGCAATATTCTGCTGATTACCGGCCAGAGACGATGATTTTATTAAACTAACAGTAAGCAAGTGTGGATGTAGGGTGTATTTAGCTAAACCGGAGTTTTGCAATGAAAAACTTAAAATTTTGTATTTATGATTGTTGAAATTAAAAAAAATCATAAAAACGCTATTTGAAAACGGGTGAGAAGAAGAATATATGGAGGAAGACGTGAAATTGTTGTAGATGAATTGATTATTCTAAAAAGTCTTATATAATGTTTAGATTAGTAATTTGTACACACTACTTTCGGTTGATTTTAGAATCAAGTATTTTGTATCTAAATATATATATATATTTCTCATTTATCAGTAATTAAAAAAGAAAAACTTAATAATGATCTAAAAATCACGCAGTTCATATTTGAGTAGTGCATTATATGAAATCAAGACGAACAACGAAGTTAACTTGAATTTAAAACAATTAATGTGGATAATATCAAGGGATGTCTAATTACAATCAATTTAAAGTATATTCTCTTATTATGAGGAATAAGTAAGTGGGATTTAGATTTAGTAATGTAAATTAGAGAATAGAGAGACTAGAGTGCATGATGAGACCATTCCCACGTGAGTTAGTGGTCTATAAATTTCATAAAGTGAACAATAAATATAAAAATAATAGCGTACTGACAATTATCAATTATTAGTACTGACAATTGTTTAATTAGTACGATTAGGGTACACCTATAATCTCAGGGCAATAACGTCATTAACATTGACCACATAATGGGACATTGTCCTACTCTCTGCGCCTATCAATAATTGTTGTTGGTTTCTCCATAACTATTCTTTTCCAAAAGTAATTTAATTACTTTCTAATATTAGGACACTAACACTATTAGTTATTGTAATTGGCTTGTATACCACCACTAATGGGCCATAAATGGTTTTAATTGGGCTTAGGATTTGCTTGCCTCACCATCTCACTAGGTTTTAGAAGAAGAACAAAGTTAAATAATGTTGACTTTGGATTACATGAAAATTACCTACATCAAGGCCATGAATGTTTGGTAGTTTTTTGTTGGTTTTTAGATTCTAGTTTTTGGATTTTGGTTTTTGGTTTTTGGTTTTTGATTTTTTTGGTTTTTGGTGTAGATTTTAGTTTTTGCAAAATCTTGAATGGTAATTTGTTTAGTTTTTAGTTTTTCTACATAATATTAATTTTTAAACGTTTTTAAGTTATATATTTTAATTTTTGGTTATATTTTGTGTTTAAAAATTACTAAAATATTGAAAATAAAAATTTGAATAATAAAAAAGAATTGAAAAAAAAATGTGACGTAAATTGTTGGAAAAACCCACAAAAGTTGGTTTTTGGATTCCATGAACAAATAGCTAAAATCTGCTAAAAACTGGTTTCCCTATTTTTTAGAGAATCTATTTTTTGTTGAATCATGAATGGTTAATTTTTAGATTTTTGCAAAATCATAATCTAGAAACTGGTCCAAAAACTGGTTCCATTCAAGGCCCAAATGTAAGAAACTAAGAATTAAGAAGACAAGACAGCGCTGTCTCATCAAACGATAAAACCTGAAATATACAGTATCTAGTCTATGCTTGTTGGGCCATGACATGTGGAAACTTGGTCGTTTTTTATAGTGAGTCTAAATGGTGACATACGTTTGAAGAATTGATGAGGAATTGTTGTGGAATTTTCATTTGGTCACATCATTTACATAAATTAAAATGTGAGGAATTCGGTCACATCACTTGGGTAAATATGATTTTTAAGTTTATATTGTTTTTATTGTTATGCTTTTAATAAATTATAAATACTTTATATTATAAATAATAATTTCATAAAATTTGTAATTAGATTGTGTGGTGACTATAAAAAATTAATTAGTTAACTTTTCTTAAAAAGTAAGAGACATAAATAATGATGAAATTGGTTAGATTTATATTGATAACTAAAGAATAAAAATAAGTTTGTAACCAATTAATAATTAAATTTTAACAGTTTATGGTTTCATATGATAATTATGTTTGATAGAACTATTACACATATTAACATAAAATTCCACCAAAATCTACCTTTTATGATTTATAGTTGATTTGTAAAATTACATTGTTATCTTACTAAGATTATTAATTATATAAGAATTTAAGTTAAATATTTTAATTTGTTTATTTCACTAATATTGTTGACAAAAAATCTTTAATTAAGTATTTTTAAGTTTATATGTTTAACTATTTTTTCAAAAATTCAGCTAGATTCAGCGGTTACCATTTGAATTGTAAATTATTCAGCCAGATTCCGCAAAAAATCACAATAAAATTCAGTCAGATTCAGCAATTCAGCCAAATTCAGCCGAATTCAGCGGTTACCATTTAGACCCAGTGTATATATCCAAATGAGACGCATCAAGCAAATGTAAACGTTCAAAACCGTTATTAAAATGCATAATCGTGTTCTTGTAAGTTGGCAAGATATTTGCAGGATATTTGTGTGAGTGAGTCTCCGAGCAGTCCCGTCTAAATGTATTATAGGACCCTTGGTAAAACAAAACACTAAAACTAAAATATTTTAGTAAAAGTTTTGTTTTTGAAAGATTGGGTCTTTTAACCTTAATTTTAAAAAAAAATTAACTATAAACCCATGACATTTGTCTACCTTACATACCCACAGAGACGGCTTTCTCTATGAATATGTGTAATTACTGAAGAGCAAGCTTGTCTAATACATAAGGCAAAATTATAAAGTAACAGTATATAACCTGAACTTTGTTTCAGTTTAGATTTGGATTTTAGAATTTCTAGTTCATAACTAATAAATATTCAAAGTAAAACCTAATATAACATGAATGATCTGATATGATGTCGGTTTCGGTTTGTATTTAAGATTTGAACAAATATATCTTTCATTAAGTTCTGTGAAACAATTAAAAAAAAAACACTTATATACCTCTGTAAAACATATATAATCTGTAAAACAATTAAAAACACTTATATACCTCTCTAGACATTTTCTAAATCACCCTAATATATAACTATTTTAATCTTGTAAGTTCAAACTTTAATTTGACCCAAAAGGAAAAGAAAAATATACAATATTCAAATTTCAAAAAGCGTTATGTGGAATTTATATAAGTAAATAATATGAAACTTTTTAAAATATAAACTATATAGTTTACTTTACTATCTATTTAAACCTTCACATCTTCAATCAATCACCATCTTTAACTTTACTTTATTACAAGAACAAAAAAAAAACTATTTGATTTTACCCAAAATTATATAATTGTTTAAAGAGTACAAAAGCCAAAGTCACATTTTTCCTACTTTTTAGAGTTTTGTCTTAACCTCTCTCTCACTCGACCGTTCCTCTCAAAATTTTCAAAAACTCAATTTTTCGAATCTCTAAAAAAAAAAAGGAATTTTCCGGCGTTTAAACCGATACAGAAAATCAAATCTCCGGTGATAATGGGTTGCGTCTCATCTAACCTCCTAAATCACGACGAAGACTTCCCTCAAATCGGCGGTGGCAGCTCCGCCTTCGGCCACCACATCGTTAAACTTACCTCCACCACTTACGGTCTTCTCACTCTCGATCCTCCTCCTTCTCCTCCTCCTTCCTCCGCCGCATTCTCCTCCGATAATATGCCTATGACGCCGCCGGAGAAATCTAAGTCATTGTGGTCTGAGCCAAGACTAATCAAGTCTGAGCCGGAGATTATTAACTCTTGGGAGCTAATGTCAGGCCTCGACGGAGAGAGTTTCCGATTCACACCACTACCGAAGACTCCGGTGAAGTATAAAGTCTTCGGTGGTGAAAACAAAGAGAATTCAGATCCTAATCGGAGAAACCCTAGAAAAATCTTGAACGACGAGGTTTTGAAACCGCTAGATCCGAACAGAGATGATTCGGATCCTAATTTGAGAAACCCTAGAAAATCGTTTTTGAAACCGTTAGATTTGAAATTGGATGAGAAATTTGAGAGGATTTGTCCTCCAGGAGGAGAGAATCGTGTGGTGATTTATACGACGTCGTTGCGCGGTGTTCGTCGGACGTTTGAGGCGTGTAATGCTGTGAGAGCGGCGGTGGAGAGTTTAGGTGTTGTGGTTTGTGAGAGAGATGTGTCGATGGATAGAGGGTTTAGGGAAGAGCTTGTGAGTCTAATGGCGAAGAGAGTTAGGGACGATGGAGTGGCTGCATTGCCGCCTCGTGTTTTTGTGAAGGGAATGTATATTGGTGGAGTAGAGGAAGTGTTGAGACTAGTTGAGGATGGTTCTTTCGGAGAACTGATCCGTGGGATACCGAGGAAGAAAGCGGATGGTGCGTGTGATGGATGCGGCGGCTTGTTTTTCTTGCCGTGTTTTCGGTGTGATGGAAGCTGTAAAATGGTGAAAGGATGGGGTAGTGCTGCCATCGTTGTGCGATGTTCGGAGTGTAACGAGAACGGTCTTGTTCCATGTCCTATTTGCAGCTGAGAGATAGTTAGAATTCTCTCTGATTTCACTCTATTTCCATTTCTGTCTATGTAATGAAGCTATTGGGGTGAAACAGAGCAAATCTATGTTTGTTTGATCCATTATGTATAATTCAATACAAATGCTCTATGTTCTTCTTCAAACTTGCTCATTTGAGATTGGTGCTATAGAAGATTACAATAGGTTCAAGTTTATTCGAACCGAGTACCTTCCGTTTGAGTAAGCACGGACCATGTGATCTATCGGTTCAACATTTTCCCATAACTTGAACCCAACCAGCAAACTCGCCACATTTCGGGTTGAACCAATGATTACTACCTTTATATTTGAATGGTAACATCGACCGGTCACTGCAGTTTAATCTGTTTATGGAGTATTATTCAACTCTAGTGTTCAAATACAAACCTGGTTATGGTCTATGTAATGAACCTTTCTATCAATGAAATAAGCTTTGAAGAAAAAAGAAACATCGATCTCGATGAAATTCACAGAACGAGTAATTTCAACAAAGAAATAGATAACTAACTTATAAGAGTCACATTGTTGGTAAGATTTCTGAAGGCTGTGACACCTCGCGGCAATTTTTTCTGTCAGATACAGAATCTGAAGAAGACTTGTTGGGTTTTCGTTTCTTCTGCGTTTCCTCCTTGTGAATTTGATTAAAATTTCTATCAGCTTTGGCAACGATCTTGGAGACAGTGAAACCAGAGTCTTCAAAAGTGTTTGCTCGTTGCGGGAGTAATGAGTCACGGCAGAAGACATCAATCCCCTCGTGAGTCCATACACCTAAAATCGCTTCTCCTTTTAGTCCTATCGCAAACCAACCAAGACCCGAAACAGCAATATCTACTGAACTTGTGTCCCAACTGCTCCCGCTCACTCGGAATTCCTTCCTGACCCATTTCCCCAACTCTTCAACCCGCTTCTCCCCAATCGGTGGCTTCATCAAGAAATCAAAAATATACAAAAGGTTAAGACTTGTATCAATGGCACTGTTCAAATCAATATCTACTACTTCAAGTTAGCTACAGTCTGATAATTCAGATGATCTTTATCTTACCTGCAATCGACAACCGAAATGGTCCTCGAGTGTTTTGTAAGCATTCTCCTTCTTCCCCATATGAAGTGGAACATAAGGAGACGCCCAAACTGTTACATATAGAGAATCAACAGACGATTCATCAATGTCAAGTCTCATTAGCCCACCGATATGAACCGTATAACCTTCCTGCAAAAAAAACTCCAATTAAGAATCCCACTTTCTTAACAAGTATCCAAAATCCAACACATTCATCAATCAAACCAAACCTTGATCCTGTAAGTCCTTGGTTTAAGCTCCTTGCTAATATGAACAAGTCTCTGCTCTTCTCTCGTAAGCCTCGTCGTGATCTGATGCGGATTCAACAACCCCGGAGTATCAAACAACTTCGCCTCAAAAGGCAAAACACCTTCAATCCTAATTATCCCCAATGTAGTTCCCGGCACAGGAGCTTCCGTCAAATGCCAAACTTTCCCACCAACAACCTTCCCAACCGCATTAATCAACGTACTTTTCCCAGCGTTCTGCGATCCTACCGCCCAAACATGTCCTCTCTTCCCAGCCATAGCCGCCACATCTTCAACCAAATCCTTAATCCCCCAATTCTTAACAGGACTAACAAAATGCAACTTAGTAATCTTACTTAAACCACCTTCACGAGCTCTTAATCTAACCCAATGCTCAAACCTAGTCGGCGACAACGAACTCGGTAACAAATCAATCTTAGTCACAACAACAACAACTCTAGGTACATTTCCTGATTTCCCTTCTTTCCAAGCCATATCATTCTCATCAATAGTTCTCGACACAAGCTTAGCTACTCTCTTTGGAAAAGAACCATCGAAATCAGAAGCATCAACAACCATCAACACAACAGTTCTGACACCAGAAGCTGAACCTAATCTCCTACCAACAGTATGATCAAAATCAAAATCAGGAAGAAGATTCTCAACCGTTGGATCTTTCACTTTCCCGTAATGTCTAAGTGAATGACACCTAGCACAAACCAATGGTCTTGAATCTTGATCTGTTTCTTCATCTTTAAGGTTTAAGTCAGAACTATTGATTGGTTCAATGATAAACCCTCGTTTGATTGAATCTATAAATTCAGGTTCTTGAGAGATGGGTACGAGATTACGAAGATTCAAATCGTTCCTCTGTTTCTCTGTTGATGGTTTGATGAAGAAACCTGGATGTTTTGGGTTTGAGTTTTGCATATGAACTCCACAACCTGGACAAACGGAGATGGTGATTGAAGTCGTATCGTTGTAGTTCCCATCTCTGTTTAACGGAACGAGATTGGAGGAAGAAGAAGAGTAGAAACGAAGAAATGGTGATTTTGATGTAGTGTTGGAGTGATGGAGATTGAGGAGTGAAGGAGATGGGTTTGGTTTAGTGGGTATGGGAGATTTGAAGGAGGAGATTGGAAGAGCTAATAAAGGTTTAAGCTTTGATGAAGAAAGCTCTCTCGCTGCTTTTGAAAGCATTTCGCTCCGACGGTAATGAGAAAATGAGATTTAGGGCTTTTGTGTTTCTCTGGGAGGAGGAAGAAGACGAGTGTGTTTAGTTTTGGGAAATTGCGGAAAAGTACCTGTAGTTTTATATTTCGCAAATAAATACTCATACTATTGTTTGCGTTAACAAATTTTGAAAACTACAGTAAAACTTCTAAAAATTATTATTCGATAAATTAATGACTTCTATAAATTATAAATTTTTAACAAATTGTAGAGGAAAACATTGAATGTGAGTTTTTTATTATTATTTAACACAAATTGTAGACAAAACCTTAAATTTTATTTTTAAAAACCAGTGGTGCAAGAAATTTCCAAAAACTACGGTTTAGATGATAAGTTGCTTGTATCAATAGATCAAATTTTTAGCTGAATTTTTCTACCTTTTTCGATTTATGTTCTTTTTGTTGGTAATTAAAATTGAACAGATTTATGTTATTTTTAATCTTATGATGATTTTGATCATTAGTTCCTTTTTTTTTGTTCAACAATCATTAGATCCTATCGTTTAACTGACTTGCAGTGAGAAGATAAAAAAGTTCACTTATTAGAGGAAGAAGAACTCAAGTAAAAAAAAAAACTCAAGTATAAGTCGAGATTCAATAGTTAACAAATGTTTTTAATTAATTTTAACCTAATTAGTTTAGACAAATTTTAAAAATTTACCGATAAGTGTCTCTTTAAATAGACCAAAAATTTATAAAAGTCCATTATAGTTATAAAAAAAAACATTGTAGAATCTAACCAGATACAATGATGTAAAAGACGACATATTTTGATAATAGCAATCTTTGAAGAGTAAGTTGAAAAATATGAGAATCAGTGATTATATAGCTATCGATGATGCATCAGTTGAACAACATCCAAAACTGCATGATCTCATTTGCTACAAAATATGTTCAAGTTCCATGAAATTGATATTTAATATAGGTGTACTTCTTTGCTGCAAAATATGTTTTTGAATGCTTATTGTAATTTATAATAGAAAATTGTATTCATTTTTCATCATAGACGTATTTACAATGATCGAGATTATAAAATAATTTATTGGAAGTTGTTCTTTTATTTAATAACATCGCCATATAACTAATGATCTCATTTGCTACAAAATATGTTCAAGTTCCATGAAATTGATATTTAATATAGGTGTACTTCTTTGCTGCAAAATATGTTTTTGAATGTTTATTGTAATTTATAATAGAAAATTGTATTCATTTTTCATCATAGACGTATTTACAATGATCGAGATTATAAAATAATTTATTGGAAGTTGTTCTTTTATTTAATAACATCGCCATATAACTAATGATCTCATTTGCTACAAAATATGTTCAAGTTCCATGAAATTGATATTTAATATAGGTGTACTTCTTTGCTGCAAAATATGTTTTTGAATGTTTATTGTAATTTATAATAGAAAATTGTATTCATTTTTCATCATAAACGTATTTACAATGATCGAGATTAGAAAATAATTTATTGGTAGTTGTTCTTTTATTTAAGAACATCGCCATTTAATTAATAATGGAGAAATCATTCCTAAGAATAAGAACAAATTAAAAACAACTAAATCCTTCGAAAAAATATAGCAATATTTAATTTGAGAATAAAAAATCAAGAAAAACTGTCTAAATTAGATAAGCCCTACAATCTCAAAAAATGAACTAGCAAATAGTTTAGACGGTGAGTCTCTTAGCAAAAACACCGTACTTCGCTGAACCATACTTCGATGCTCCAAATTTCTGCTCAAAGAAATGAATGAAAATTGTTTCTTTTCCAACACATTCCTCGGAGGATAGTGACACCGTTGATTTTTTTCAAGTTCTTTCTCAAAAGATCCGTAATTGCCTCCTAAATTACCAAAGGAAACAAATTTAATGGCGAAAATGAAATTTACATCGCACGAAATCTTAAGAACATTTTTTCATAGACATTTGCACAGACACTTCTAGCTCCAATTGTCTGAAAATTGACAAGTGATGTGTTTCTTCCAATTTTTTCAAGTAAACGAGGAACATGGTACCTAATATAAGTTAAAAAATAATTCTATTTTGACAAAAAGAAAAACAGTTTAAAATTTTTAATTTTGACACAAAAAAATTCAAAATATTTGATATGGAAACATAAACAACAACAAAATATATTCATTAAGTATATTTTCCACAATTGGTTTGACAATTTTCAGCATAGTAAACTCCTCTATAGTTAGACTTAACGGAATAACCATTTATGCTTGCTAGAAAAGCTGGCCAATAACGTCCAATGTTGTTTCCATTAATCCAAACTGTTCATTTTCCAAATTCTAAGAAATCAACCACAACTCGTTCACTTCCCCATAGAGCCTTGAAAATAATAGGAAAAGAACATTGGATTGATACAATTTGAAATTGCATGTATAAGTTTTTGGTTAGTTATTGAAATTTAATATATGACGACTTCCTGGCTCCAAAATATGTTCTATGACCATATTTTCGAGAAGTCTTACTTTAAGCTCATCTTCACTCTTTTGCATTTCAAACCGTTAAATATATTGATTTGAATATATTTTACTGACTAAAATTTTCAAAATATCATATAAAAATTGTTTAAAATCATATAATTAAACATTTGTAAGAAAAAAATCCAAAAGATATTATCAAGAAAACAAAAGATGCGTTTAATAAATTGTGGTAGGTCTTTTTTATTAACCCACCACAATCTAAGATATTGTCACACATAATATCATATCATTCTCTCTTATTACTCATTTCCTCAAGTTATGTTAATCGTTTAAATTGTAATATTATTACAAAACTTTATTTACAACAATTTTGACCTTTTGTTTTTTGTGTGTATTTGAAAAATACAAAAGGTGTCAAAGCTCTCGAAAAGCGCAGAGAAGGATCAAGTACTGGTGTAAGTGCAACTAGCCGCCACACACGCTTGACGTGTGATACTTTGCAGATTACAATATTATCCTTTTTAAGTTTTATTAACCATTCGATTAAAAATGCAATTCTGACCAAGCTGTCTTATTTGATAATTAAATTTTTTTACATTGACCAAATCAACATTTGACTGATATTAATGTGTTTGCTGATGAAAGGAGAACCAAAAAAAAAAGTTAAGACTTTAAAATATACAAATATTCAAGGTAAATTTATAATTTTCCAAGATTCCTTTCCTTATTTTCAGTCATAATTTTAAAATGATTTAATATTTCTAATTTAAATATTTTTGAAAATAGAAATTTGATTTTGTTTTGAGTTGACTATGAACAGAGACTTAAGATTTGGGAAATATCTAAAAAATTAAGGTAAAATAACAAATTTCTAGATTCCTCATTTTTTGGGACGACTTTTGATTCCCGACGTTAACATGAAAACAGAAAAACTTTAAGCATAAATTATAAATCTAATATAAAATAAAAATAAAATAAATCTAATATATAAGCATAAATTCTCAACTTCATCATTTTTTGTAATATTTTGAAAAAGTTTCTGATAATTCTAATTTATATTTTCTGGGATAAACATGATTCACGTTTCCGAAATTTAAAATGAAAACAGAAATTGACTTGTTCAACTAAATAACACAGACTTTTATGTACCTACCATTTTCTCGAATAAAACAAAAAACAAAAAAAAACGATTTAATCGGACATAAACAAAGAAGGATGATTGACAAAAAAAAAAAAAACAAAGAAGGACGATAAAGTAAATGTTTAACTCTAAAAGTAGAAACATTTAAGCACAAAAGCAAGTTTCTAATAACTTCAGGGGTAAGAGTATAAATAACTAAAAACAGAGACAATCTTAAGCACAAAAGCCTCTCTCAGTGTTTTATACTCTTCTGCTCTGTGTAACTTCTAAACGTGAACCCAAATCGAAAAAACTCTCCCTAAGAGATTACCCAAAAGTAAACGGCAACAGAAGCATCATCAAGCTTCTAGCATTACATAAGGGAAAACAAAAGAACCAGAAGTTTCAGACAAACATTCTTTACATGCCTGTGAGGAGCAGAAATATTTATAAAACTTGTAGCTACTACGGTTAATGCATTTGATGTCGCGGGACAGCACGGGAACGAACAGGTGTCTTTGACGGACTCACCCTGCAAATCCAATCACCAAAATACGATAAATGTTCAGATTTATGATCAATTTAGAGAAAATGTTAAAGAATAAGAATCGGTTTGTTCTTGGACCTTATCGGTAAAGAGCCAAGAAGGACGCCACTGCAGTTGAGAGCAGCTATTGCACTTTCAGCCTACGGAAGAATGAAAAGATTAATACTTTGCCGAAACAACCGTAAAAAGATGTGCTTTTCAACAATTTTTTTGATAAACATCATACTTAACTCATGAAAATGCATAAGCTTTATAGTTGACAATAGAAGGTTGGAAAAAAGAGAGATAACAGAAGTATCTGCTTACCATGACAAACTCCACGAAACCGATGCGAGTTGGATGATGATAATCGCCCAGCAGCCTCAGACGGTAAACCTCTCCACACACAGACTCAAAAAAGAGTTTAATGTCTGCTTGAGTGAGCTGTTGAAAAGTGAAACTAATCAAAGTTAGCAACTTTAAGTTTCAAAATAGCTCAGCGAAGATAACCAATTCGAGAGACAGTCACCTTCTTGTCGATGTTAGTACAGTAGATAGTTCTCGCACACATCTCACGCTCATCTTCAGTCTAAGAACCAACAAAAAGGACTAGAAATCAGCATCTTGAGTCTAAAAAACCACAACTTTGCACTCAGAATGCGATGAAACACAAGAAAAGTTCTCACCCTTGGCAAGAATGTCGGGTTAACCGGTGCAATAGCTGTCTTAGACGGCATAACCTTCACAGGATAGAATCCCAGCATCGTCCCAGACAAACTCAGCGCAGCCCTTGCACCCACTACAAGTCCCAAATTAACAAACCATAAACCAACCATTTACAGGCATTATCCAAGAAACAGATTACATAAAGAAACTAATGTTACCTTCATCAGTGAACTCAATGAAAGCAAACCTAAGTACTGAGTTGGGATCACCACATATACGACAGTCAACAACCTAAATAAACCAAATATAGTCAACACCATAACACAACACAACCAAAGATTAACTTTTAGAAGTTGCTTAAACCTGTCCAAAGCCGATAAACAAACCAGCAAGCTGCTCCTCAGTGACCTTAAACCCAAGAACAAGTTTAGTATTAAGTGAGAATACACTAAAGCCTAAGAAGAACCATTGAAGAAAGGTGGAGACTTTTAAAACCTGTTGGTCAATATCAGACACATAGACAGTTCTTCGAATGATCTCTTCACGTTGAGCCAAACTTGTCCTAGGATTCATTCTCCTTTTCCCTTGTTGTCCAAACGACTTCTTCTGTTTCAAAGACATAAAAAGGTGAGATTTTTCAAATCATAAACACACAAGAAGATACAGAGAAGTCAAATTTCAAGAAATGAAAATGAAAAATCATCAAAAACCCTAAAGAATAATTTGATTCAAAACCCAAAAAATCACAGAGAAGAGACTTGTTTGTTCTTACACGGCGAAAACCACCGTCTTCGTTAACGGGGAAATTTCCGGCAGCACCAAAGCCATTATTAACGGCGAAGAAACCACCGTTAAAACCATTAACAACTGGCTTAGTGAGTGAAGGAGGAACAAACTCTTTAGCCATGGGATTAAGCTTAGACAAGAGCTCATGAAGCTCTCTCATATCACGCTTAAAACTCTCATCACCGTCGGATCTCGCCACGTGGACTCCGATCTCACTATGGATTCCATTTCCACCGTCATCGTTGTTAGAAGAGACTCCTGATTCTTGACTGGTGACGGAAGACGGCGGCGACGGCGAGATCAAACCACCAGCTTCCACAGTAGTATTAGCTCCGACGCTCTCAATGACCGCCATGATCAGAAAATTCGAACAAAACCCAGAAATAAAAATCTGATTTTTGAGAGAAACAACGATCAAGTAAAGAGATTTGAGGAATACAATGAAAAAGGGAACAGTGGCTATAAGAAGAGAGCCACCAAGAAAGAGAAGAGAGAAGAGAGAAGAAGAAGAAGAGGACAAAAGAGTAATTAGCCAAAGGATTAATGGTAATTAAATTTTTGATTAGATGAGAAAGATTAGCGAGGTTCGTTGAGAAATGGTATAGATTAAAAAGCCCAAATCTGAGTTTATTTTTTTTTACCGTGGTGAAAAAGTTAAAACGATCGGGTAAAGTAGAAAAATCGGTCGTACTAAGATCACGCTCTGCAGTTTTCGGACAGAGCTATATCATAGCAAACCTGAATCTACAACTCTAATAATTATCCAAAAAAAATCATTTTCCAGAAAGTATATATATATATATATATATATATATATATATATTTTTTTGGCATCACATATTTATGGGAAACTTGGAAATAAAGAACATTTTAAAAAATAAAAGTCTATATATACCTTTATATAAAAGATTTGGTGGAATAGGTTTCTTAAAAATTCAAAATCCAAATTTACCCCTCTTATTTCAAAAATTTAAATAACAAAATAAAAAAAATATATTTCCTAATTTATTTACAAAATTCAGATAAATATTTAAAACGTAATATTTCATAAATATTCAGTTTCCTTTTTAAAAGATTCACTTTTTATATTTAGAAATTCTAAATATTTCAGAAATTAAAATCTATATTATTTTAGAATACATATTCTAAAAAAAGAAAACATTTTCTGACGTTTCAGAACATAGTGTAAATCGTAGAATAAATTTTCAGACAAAAATTAGAACATGAAGGAAAACGTAGAGTACATGTTCAACGGTTTTTAGAAATTTGTAATATAGACTTCTAAATTTGTTAGAACGAAAAACTAGTTTAAAATTCGTAGAACATGTATAAAAGTTTAGAATGGAAACTCTGCTATTCGTAGAACACTATAAAACGTACTCTAATAATATTAGACGAAATTTTATTCATAAAAGAATTAACTTTTTCATCAAAAATCACCAATTTTTTTTTACAAAGCATCTTTATTCTTGTATATCTACATGTTTTTTTTTGGTAAAATTATTTTACAAATGCTTAAAATAGGAAGTAGTGGTATTTAAGTCCAAAGTGATATTCTCATTAAAAAAAATGTGTATATGGTCAAAAAAAATTTAGACCTTCTTTATTTCTAATTTTCCCTATATTTATGTCACTAAAACAAAACATATATACTTATTTTTATTTTATTTTTCTTGTCCATCACTCTATCCACCAAAACATATATAAATAAACTTTTTTAATAAAAAGATACAGATGTTAATTACATTTTAATCAACCTTTTTAATTTTTTTTAATTTTAATCAACCTTGATATAAGTAACCTTGATATAAGTAATCTACAAGTTTCCACTCTAGTAAACAAATAACAAAATGGGACTAGTTGAGGGTTGGGATTAACTCATTATTAACATAATGATATGGAGAATGACGACTAGTAAAACAACACGCGGCACAAAACGAATGCATAGTTTTCTTTGGGTGTATAATATGTTCTCTTAAACAAAACGCTACCATTAGTCCATTACCAACGATGATTTATCAATAAAAAGAAATAATAACCTAACTCCGTCGATAATCATGTGGTTTTCAACTACACTAGTCACTAGTGCTATGCTAGAAACAAGACTGAGTAGAAGATTTATGCGCAAAACGATCAGAAGACAAATTTACTACTAACTAATGACAATCTTGTATTACATATTTACATGTTCACGTAATGTGTGGATTCTATAATAATATATGTTTCTATTTGTTTGAGGTTCTAGTAATGTGTTGGTGCTGGTACCAACAGATTTAGAGGTCTATAGCAACATTTCAACAATATGGTCTTTTAAATTAGTTAACACCTAAGTATTATATAATATGTAATTTTGATGAATTTTCCTTAGTACTCTTAAAATTACAATGCACAACTAGAAAATATCAAATATCTATATATAAAACCTTTGATTAGAAAATTATGTAAAACCTTAGTCAACGATGTAACAGCCGAGTCCCTTTTATCAAAATATAAAAAAGTTCCACTTTTCAAGAAAGGAGAAAAAGATTAAAGATTAATTGCAACAAGTATATTATGACTAGTAAAAACTCTTATTTAGTATAACTCTAGGTAAAGGGACATTTGATGTATAAACTCTTATTTAGGTATGACACTTAAAATTAGTTTAAATGATATTCTATTACGATTAATACATTTGATGTATGTATTATGAATATATAATTAGTAATACAATATAAGTTTGATTATATTTTGGTGACTTGCCAAATCTTAATATAAGAAATTATTTTGTTGTTTTAAATATATGATTAAAAAAATAGTTTATTAATTAGATAAAACATCAAAATAGATTACATGAATTTTTTACTATCTGTTTTATAATTAACTGTAAATTCTACATATATATTTAATCATATTCTATTTTTTTTTGGTAGGGGATATTCTATTTATTTATGTGTAAATGCCAATTAAAAGATGATAACAATTTTTGGTCATATAATGTAGTGATTTATAATTTAATGTTTGATTGGTTGGGCTGTAATTGCCTTTTAAAGCCATAAATAATTTGTAAAGATCAAATTGTTGTCAATTAGGTTTGACTGTAGATCTTGAATTTTCTTCTAAAGTTACAGCCCCCCAAAAAAGATTCTTTTAATCTTTTTGTTTGACTGTAGATCTTGAATTTTCTCCTGCCTAAGATTTTTTGCTTTTAAGTGCTTTAGGTTTTTTTTTTCTCTCTTTTCTAATTTTTTCCTTTCTCACGTAGATGGATATATATACTAATCATATAAATATCATTTATAGTCTCGTTTGTTACGTATACTTATATGTATATATTTGAACAAGATTTTGAACGAAAAAGCTTATATGTGCATACTAATATGTAGTTATTATATGAATAACATATTAAATATTTTTATACATTTATATGTTTATATTCCAACCTATATGCATAATACAATTTGTGTTGTTATTTATTATATAATTGCTATTAAATAATTTTATTAACTATCATATAATTTAAGAAAATGTAATTTAAATATAAATTCAAATATTTACTAATCATAATTACAACTAATAAATTTACTAATCATAATATTCCTAAAATCTATAGTTACAGCTAAAAAGCTACAGCTACAACTTACACACTTACATTCAAAATTCTACCGTATATAATCTACATCTACAGTCAAACGGCCAATCACACATTTAGTTTAATTTTCTAATTATAAAAAGCAATGCATTTAATCTAATAGAAATTCAAAATATCTAAATTTGGTAATAAAAAAAATCAAAATATCTAATTTGGTAACTTTAGATATTAAAATTCTTTTATGTGTGTTTGGCAATAATTCTAAAAAAATAAAGATAAATAGTATTTGGAATCAAAGTGTTTGATATTAAAAAAAATACTGAAATATATATAAAGAAAATGGTTGAGAAAAATTGTGGAATTACCACTTAAACACTAAAAACTTTCTTGGCATATATGACTAGCCGATTTATATCTTTCATAAAAAAGGCCAACATTTGACCCTTCTTGTTTGAGCGTCTTGGTTAAATCAAATGAATCTCTTCCCCCAAATTATTTCTCTAAATATTATTCTTCATATTTTATCATATTTAAAAACTATCAAATAAACCCTTTGCACATAATTATTTACTTTTCATAAATCCAAGGACTAAGAATCAATTCTTTTTTTCTTTTCTGATAAAGACTAAAAGAATCAAAATTCTAAAAAGTAAAATGGCCCATACGGATAAACATGAGTTAAACTAAAGAATCACTTGCAGACAAACAATGACAATGACATTACAAGTTTCTGAATTATCCATTACTCTCTCACTCATTATTATTTACCTTTCTTACTGCAAGTAAAGATAAGAAATTACCTTGCAGCCTAATCAGTAACCACCATATTCGTACGGTGGTCGAAGCAGTTACCAACTTACCAGTTCCATCACCAGCTTTACAGCTATAAAGATATGCTTAAAGCTCCTTTATAAATCCTTCATAAATCATAAACCTAAAATTTATGGTATTTTAAATATTGTTTTTGGATTTTGGTGGAAGTTATAGAAGAAAGCATAACTGTGGTATATTTGAGAATAATTTTATGTTTATGATTTTGTCTACATTATTTTAAATTTACATTACTATAATTTTTTTTTCTTCTTCTAATTTTCCCTGTTTTATGCTGTTTTTATGAGTTGAAAATCTGTTAATCCAAACCAATTAAGAAACGTTCGGAAATAATACATGTGTTTTGATTTGGTATCTGGTTTTGTAATTATTGGGGATAAATTTAGCAAATCTATCTTTTTTTTCGTATTTTTGTATATCTTCTTAAAAGAATTATTGTACTTTTGGAATCAAAGCTGAAAAATAGTGGTTTTAGATTATTCCTTTAGTTTAAAATGATGCCTAATTGTTTATTTTATCGACCCAATAGCTACCAAACTCTTGTCTTGTATTATTTTCCGGAAATCGAATCGTACTACACATCTTTTAGTTTCCTAGCAACCACCAAAATACCAAATCTCATTTATGTTTGTCTTTTTCATTCGAAAGTTATTTGGTAATTGGTATCACCGAAATACTTTTTTTCGTTAGAAAATAAAACAATACTTTCTTTCGTAATTACGAGTAGATTTTGTCTTCTGTAGCAGAATATACTAATATTTTTGATATTACGATTAAAATATTGAGGGTTGATAAGCTTTGATTTGTGTCCTTGACACGAAGAACATATAGGATAAAAAAAAACTACTTGGGTTTAAACCGAAAAAAACAAAAAAGAAAAAAAAAAAAAAATTGAGTGACGTTGAACCAAACCAATGTGTATGTGTTTGTTGTTCGTGTCGGACGGATCTCGATCAGGATTAAAAAGAAAGAAAGATTAAATTCGTCAAAGATACGTTCACTTCAAATATTTC